GTGTGTGTGTGTGTGTGTGTGTGTGTGTGTGTGTGTGTGTGTGTGTGTGTGTGTGTGTGTGAGACAACACTCACTTTGTTAAGCCATTTCAGCCCTGGAATCTGACAGGATTCGATTTGTTCCTGTAACCAGGGTCTCATCCTCATTCGTTCTACTGGCATTGCGGTCTGTGAAGTCACACACACAGAAACGTTATTATGAATGTGTGAGCACTGGTATTGATACTGGGATTCAAAGATGTTTTTTTACACATTGTAGCAACTTTAAAAAAAAAAAACAGAAATGCTGTAATACGTGATCTGCCGTGATGCTCACTGTGCAAGAACACTTAAAAAATCTTGTTTCACACAGGATGAACGGAGCGGCTGCACCGAGCCAACGACAAACAAGAACGATTCTGAACCATGAATCACCCAGAGCTACTCAAGTAGAGCTGGAAATTAGCATAGCAGCCCCCCACTGATGTTTTTTCCCCATTCATAGTCATCATTTCAGAGTGAGGTGTGGAACACAGTTGAATCAGATCGTGTGTGCTTGTAAAGATAAAACTCTTGGCCAGGCTCTTTAATGTGTTCGCAAAGAACAGCAGCCATAAAACACGATTCATAAATAAAAATGTCAGCTCATGTTTGTAGCTCTACACTCGGCCTCACACTCCAGAGAGTGACACCTGAAATGAAACAACAATGGACCAAGAGGAAAAAATGAACACAGAGCTCATAACCGTCCCAGAAAACTTTAGCCCACCCATGTCGCTACATTTGATTTAAGGGCAGAGTGATGATCTCTGCACACAAACCTGATCAAAGTCCAGTCAGGCAGACACTCCCTGCCAGCGCAGTGCTTCCCCAACAGGTTAAACAAGGTGAAACAGCACAGCATCAAATCCAAAATATCAAACAAGGCTGAGCCTTTCAGCTGCGTCTGCTCAGTGAAAGCTCACAATATCACTACAGAAAACACAAGCTGAAAAAGATACAAGGAGTGCAGCACAAATGGCACACATGGGCAAAACACAGGGCCCACGTCCCACTTCAACACAGCCCCTGGTGCCCAAAAATGAAAACTAAACAACCCACGCAAATATCAATAAGAGACAGCTTTGTGTCACCAAATCTCAACGCAAATGACTTCAGCAAACACAAACTGATATTTCACCTTTAAAGTCCTATCAGCGCACTAAGCTCTCAGTGGTTTGCACACCTGAAGCATCTTTGATTTGCTCACTGTTAACAACCCAGTCAGGCTGCCATCAGGTGCAGGGCAAACGCTCCTACAAGCAGATCCAAGTATGCTGCGGGTGCTTCAGTTACTGCTGACCTGAGATCAGTTACACCTGTGCATGCAGCATTCAAAAACAGACTCAAAACCTTTTTTGTTTGCACAGGCTTACACTTGTTTACTTTAAAGCACTGTAATCCTACATGTTTTTATCTTATACATGAAGCACATTAAGTTTACATATGATAAAATGTACCATTGCTGTTTAACTCAGATGCAACAGGGGGCGCTGCACCGATCACTGTGCAAACAAACTGTGCTGTGTGCTTCAAAAGCAGACTTTGCTGGTCTTGGAAAGACAGACAACCTTCTCAGGTGTTCCCAGCAGACTACATGACACACAGCATCAGTTAGAAATCATTCACACAGGTTACTTACAGTCACACTAGCGACTCAGGACAAGAAATTTATTTATTTATTCACAGATAAGACAGCTCATTAGTTCATATATAGTAAAAACGACCCAGGTATCTCTTCATCCTGATTTATCACCCAAGTTCTGACCGCAGCTTACTTCACACGTTAAAAGCAGCACGCTCACATTCACAAATACGAGCATTTGTTTGTTCTTAAATTACGTCTGTGAATATTAATATTTTATTAATATTTTCATCATTCACAGACATGCAGTTTAACTACAGATATACTTGTAAAAACTTACAGTTTTATTTCAGAGTATGTGACGCTGACAGAAGACATTTTCTAACAGAAAGACAATTGAAGGGAAAAAAAAGACCCAGATCTATTTTAACGCATTCGCCAAATTCACTTAACTCAGCACTATGTCATGTTTCCGCTCCGTTTTTCAGAGAGACAGGCTGCATCTAAGTCCTCTGAGAGAACAGCACATGTGTGAATACATTTCAATAAGCAGATGTTTAATAGGTGGAAGGGGGAATCATCACAGCGGGACTTTAGGGTTAAATGAATGCGGTTAAACCGTTGACGCAAACTATACTGATTTCTGACCAACATGTCATCACAGTGCGTGGCACTATGTGTGCTTTCTTCTGTTTTTTACTAATTGCACAATGAGGAACATTTGCTGCTGATAATGCGGAAAAATTGGATCAAGAAGAGTTGAAATATGTATTTACACTGTGTACATAACGGTGTCTACACAAATATAGTCCAACTGTACATTTAAAAATATAACATTCAATATTATAACATCAATACTACTTTTTAAATTATTAATAGTATTACTATTATTATTTCTTCAGTGTATAGCACATTTATTTTTATACTGCTAAACATGGTAAGTTACCTGTCACGGAGTGCAGACAATATAACACTTGTAGTGTTTTCAGTGTAAATAACACGCACTAAGACCTGAATACTGTTCACGGCTCAGTCCCGCTGCTACTCACATTATAACACGGTAAATACACACAGTTACAAACAGATAAACACTGTACACTTCAAAGAGCGGGAGGATGCTAGCAAATATTAACAATTCCAGGTAAACAGCCACATCAGCGCTGACTTTCCAACGTTAGTAACGTGTTTGTTCTGGAGTCGAGTATGCTTTAGCAGCAGGGGTCAAGTCAGAAGTTTATCGCGCCCTGTGTGTCTACCGCCTGCCACCGAGCTGACCCAAAACAACGAAGTCAAAAGTGAAAATAAATCCCATACCGAGTCATGAAACGCGGAGACAAACTGCAGAACTACTTTCACTTGAGCTAGGGATCCGTCATGTCGCCCTGTAGGAAGTCAGTGTGGCCAGGGGAGCGCAAGGCAGCGACGTTAATATGCGGAAATAAGATGTTACCTGTTAGGTTTGGACGGCCTCGGGCTCCACAGTCCCGCTGTCGGAATAAGAAGAGCAGCCAAAACCGGACAGATTAACGTGTTCGAGGTTTTAAGTGGAAAAGGGAAAGTGTGGTCGTCGTTTATTTCTGTTTCTGCATTCAGACCGAAAGCAAAACAACGGCCGCTTCGGGAAGTGGGGGCCAGAGCTGGAAATCCCCCTCCTGCTCTCGTGCTCTCGCTTTGGGTCGGTCTCGAGCGTCGTGAAGTCTCGCGTGCGCTCGCACGCGCCAAAGCGAAGATGGCTCACTCCGTTGTGTTTTGGGGTTTTTAATTATCTTTTTTACCATTCACCTTGCCACGCCACTGCAAAACACCAACATTAAATCACTGCACGACTAGGCTACATATACATAGCTCAGTGACTAGTACCTGAATACATGTCTTGGCTAACTGTAGCAAATACGTGTTTAAATGTGCCAGCAGGTGAAACACGGCGGAAATGACTCCCCCTCCCCCCAAATCGTTTATTCTTAGGACATAGACGATCTTTGAGCTGAATTTCATTTTCACTTCCTCTGTGTCTCTCTCCCTTCGTCGCCCCCACAGCTCCTCTTCTTTCTCCGCCACTGCAACTGGAAACGAAACTAGAAACTTCTCACAACTGTGTGTGTGTTTAAGGGGTTGGCAGCAGCACACCTGCCGTTGTGTGGAGAGGACACGTTTGTAATGTTTCTCCTCTAAGTGTGTAGCTATGGCCCAGAGTCAAGCTGCAGTTTAGAGTAGTGCACGCAGTGATTCCGTTTATTCTTTCAAAAGAAGAATCGAAACTGAGCTGTGCAGTTTCACATGAAAATGTCTGCAAGCTAGCAGCAGATCGACAGATTCCCAACACAGCAGCATGTATGCATGACATGTGTCTGTTTTTAATGGAAACTCTGAAGATAAGGCTTCCACTGGCACACTCACACGTACTGAATTTCCCCATTCGTTTATGATTGTTACATTTGGTGTTATTTGTTCTGCCGGTGAGTCACTCCGCACACTGTTTCTGTTTACAGCAAAGAGAAAACAGCTTTGTCAAAATCTGGGAATGGAAAACGCGATGTCTGAGAAGCTCCAACCTCCACACTCGATCCTCAACAAATGGAAAGTGTGTGCCAGCTCTCCACGGGGTCAGGGTTATCTCTGTGACACACACAGCTGAGCCCGGGGAGGGGTCTGACAAACCTATCCAAGGAGTTTGTATTTCACAGCAGTGGGCCCCGGACAGAAGCTGCCTTCTACGCAGAATACAGACGGTTAAAAAGAAAAACGGAAGAATTAGAAAAAGAAGAAGAAGAAGCTGACAACTGTCTAAACAGAAAGTCTTATTTCTTTTCTCGTTTTCAAATTAGCACTTCCACATGGTCGGTGCATCAAGGGTTAAACTGGGCCACAGTTTCAGTTCCTGAAACCTGCTGAGTCATTAAAGGCCTCTGAGAACCACGTTAGTTGTTCCTCTGGCCTCCTCTAGTGGCTGCATGTTCACACCGTTGGTTCAAAATACAAAACATCTGGCCTGTCATATGGTCAGCTCTATGAGTGTGTGGACTGCTGCTTCTGCACGCCACCAGAGTGGACTTTAAGTCAAACAAAGAAGATGTGACTGAAGTGCGGACCTTCAGCTTCAATTCAAGGATTTTAACACATGTATTGAATTAAATGTTTTACACATAACCTCCCATTTTCAAAGGCTCAGAAAGAACTGATGATTCAAAGTGTTGAACCTGAGTTTGGTAGATGTTCACTGGAACTCTCAATATGAGGTCCAAAAACATGCCATCGTTAGGCCGACAAAACATAAACCTACGACAGACAGCGAAAACGTGCGGAGTGCGCAGAAAATACAGATGGAAACTGTCGCAACACTGTTAAGGGTTTTTTTTTTCACTTTAATACAAACATACATCCAACACTAAAACACTAAAATCAATGAAAGTATCACTAATCTAAGTGCCAATTGTGCAAATGGGTTTAGTCACATTTAAATCACTATCATCCTGCTTTGCATCAGCTGCAGCACAGCACCAGACTTTGCATTTGGTCAAGGAGAACAAAGATGATTGAGGTTCAACCATGTAAATCTAGACGGGGAAGTAAAAGTCTTTGGTCAACATAGAGACGATACAGGGGATCTGCTTATTGCAACCAAAGCCAGGCAAGTTGCTGGAGGACTCGAAGTAGCGTGAAACACCGTAGTTGACTCGCGTCATGATCTGCATCAGATCCAGCTTCCCACTGTAGCGCTCCAACATCTCACACAACATCAGTATGAACCAGGAGCCGTAGGTTGTGTTTCTCCATGAGTAGTATCCTGCAGGACGAGTGACAGTGTTAGCGCTCTTAGAAAACACAACGAGGAGGCGATCGTTCACTATAGTACACAATCCTGACACTAATAGTAGCTGGACTGGTGACTGATACAAAACACTGATCTATGGGAGGGCATCTGTTTAGTTCAGCTGTGTGTTTATTATTACTACCATGGTACTCAATTTAATTTAATATCATTTTATGCAGTAAGATATCGATAGAACTGATACCGGGGCTGGTATTGGATCAATACTAGCTGTGATGGCATCAGCCACACAGGGGTAAATTAGTCCATTTTTCACTTTATTAGTTTGCTTTGCAGTTTTCTTCATTAATCATTTGGTTAAACCTAACACTGGTATTATGAGGCGCGCACATAGTAACATTGTGTGGTTTTTCTAAAATGTTTAGTTATATTAATTATGTTTCTCTTTCTTTGAGTTACCTGGGTTTGGGCGGTGGCTGTTTCCTGTCTGGGCAAAAGGCGTGGCTGAGGACTCTGGGGACAAAATGCCTGCTCAGCAGGACCAACCATGGGCTTACCAGGAGCAGGGGTGTTTTAGGCTTAGTTAGGTTATTCTGTGCTTAGTTAATATTGGTGTGTGTTTTTGTTTTCCCCCTATTGTGTTCAAATGGTTTGGCCAAATCATTATAAAAGCTACCCTCATGTGTCTTTGTAATTAGGGCAGTTTGTGTCTCACTTTGTTGTTTAAGTTTTTGGAAATTACTTTTTGTAGAGTTATATTTAGTTGACCTGTTTTATGGGCCTGCTAAGTATGGTTTTGAATTTTGTTAATTTTGAGGGTTAAAATAAAGAAAACCCTTTTTGAAGATATTTTTGCTTGTGTCCTCTTTGCTTTGGCTGCTTGGTCCCTCACACTAGCCCAATACGCTTAATGCTTTCATTTGTCTGTCCCCTGTAAATTGCTCCCATTCATCAGAAAGGAGACATGTGGAAGCAATGCTCCTCTCATGTAGGCACACTTTGCTCCGCCCCTCCTCCCTGCTCTACTGCATTCCGATCTCCTGCGGTCATGTGACTCAGCAGCATCAAGCAGAGCCATGTAGGTTGCAGTGAGTGAGAAAGCAACACATTGTTTAGAGGTAAGTTACGGTTGTTAGTCATTGTGGCAGAGGTGTGGCCTCTGGCCTGCTGCAGGGGAGGGACAACACAGTGAGCTCACAGGAAGGCGTGGTTGAAACACAGGTGTGCTGGCTCAGTTCTTCTTCAGTGACAGCAGAGCAGAAAAACGTGTGTGGCAGCAGCCTTGGAGTGACCGTTTCCAGCATGCAGAGCACCAAAGCAACAGAATCTACTGCCATAGACAAACAGAATAAACTGACAACGGTGTGTGTGTGTGTGTGTGTGTGTGTGTGTGGTCCTTGCCACAGTCATCTTAGCTGTTACTTTAGCCGACTGATCACCTAAAGGCTGTATTAAGACATTTAATTATATATCCAGCCCAGTCAAATCAGTTAGCTAAATGATGGTACTGGAGCAGAAAAAAAATATACCTCAAAAATGAACCATGAAAGATGTCTGAGTATAATGAAGAGTTGTATTTTATTCATACAACAAATAAAAAAACAGATATTCCAGAGTCAAAATCCACGAAAAGCTAAACTAGTTATTGTAAAAAAAAAAAAAAAATAATCACAGAGGTTTAGTGGTCACTAAAGTGTGTCCAGAAATGTTAAATTGATGATGATTTATGTCATAGATCACGACACTCTGCTGTCCTGCATCAGTTGCCTTTTCAAGTTAAAAGTGTCTATATTTGGCACGTCTGTCTGTTTCTGAACTCAGAGTTTTCAGAGTTGTGTTTAATTTTTGGGTTTTTATTTCCATTCTTTCTTCAGGTCGTCTGGTTCTTGGTATTGTTTCTGTCTGGTTTCATTGGGTTTTTTCATTAGTATCCTGTTCCTCTTTTCTTCTTAGTTAGAGTTTGTTCTTTTATTGTTATTCATCCCATAACGTTCTTGTATCCACATCTCCCTGTTTCAGTGGCTTGTTTTCATTTCCTCTCTTATTTTGGTAGTCATTGTCTCCTGTGTTTTGCATTTAGTTTGACATCTCCTGTGTCATTATCCTAATAGTTTCCCCCTTTTTTTCTCCCACATGTTTGAGGCATATATTTTAATGTCCCATTTCTGTATGTGGGCTACATCCTGAGCTTAAAGCATTGATCTTATCGCAGTAAGCGTGTAAATCCCTGTCTCTCCTGTGTTCTTTAGCAAAGTCTCTATGTTTTACCTGCCATTTCTTATCTTTTAATTTTTTGGAGATTAAGTATTATTTGCACTTTTTTTGGTCTTTTTTATGGACTTTGCCATCAGTTCAAATAAAGCTCACCTTTTCCCACTGCCTTCCATGCGAGTCCACCCTTTAGCCAAAATGTGATGTAGCCTATTAAGATAACAGAAAACACTGTTTGTACCTGGAGCGGTGGAATAGGCGTATAAGAAGTCGGCCTCCACAGGAATCTTCTCAGACGTCTGCTCGTCTCCTACACTGTCGGTCTCAATGACTCCCTCATCCAGGTTTGTACCACGGCATGCCTGAAAAGGAAGGAGAAGCAGATATTATCAAAGCCCTTCTTGAAGCTCCACTTGGCAAACATCTTGAAACATCTGTATAAACATCTGTATAAAGTCACCAGTCAAATTTGATAAAAGCAGCTTGTATGTACTTTTTCAAAAGCTCCATACATCCATTCATTTTCTGTCACTTATCCATCTCTGTGCTGCAGGTACACTAATCCAAGCAGAGATGGCCAGACCTCCCCAACCCAGCTGACTGCTCCATGTGAGGTGGCTGGGAATAAGCTAGGCGTAATTACCTGAATGTTTCTGGTGGATGGAGGATGTAATGTACAGCTAGACATCCAGTTTT